GTTTTATAAAAGTACAATCATAAACTATTCTAGACAATGATTTCCAAAGAGTCAGGAAGATGCCTTATGCAACCTAGAGAGCAGGGTTGCCTTTCATGAAAATCAAGAGTATCCTTAGGCATTCCCCATTTGGTGAATCCATTGCCTATGACTAATCTGTGTCTTTCAAACTACATGTTACCTCAGACACTTCCTTCAAACAAAAATTAGAAAAATACACTATATTTAGTGGACACCACAGATTGTTGCTTACAGATTGAATTGTTCTGTAGCAATAGAGATGAGAACCTGGACCCCTACTGACCAACTCACCATCCCCTCTCAAGATAGCTCTTGAGGTCTGGAACTCTTTCCAGATGTGGAGAGCTGTGTTTTCCACCTCATTCTAGAGACTTGAGCTCCTTCAGATTTTACTCAGATTAGGAGCACTGTAAATTTACTACACAGTATGTAAGATAGGGATATCCTTCATGTACCCTAAAATTTTCTGCTAATATCCTTTTTTCATGTCCCAAATCAATACATATGGCTAATTCATCTTATGACTGAGTATTTCTGTCTGATCAGAAAGTTTTATTATCTCAGAGGTGGCTTTCAGCTCAGAAGAAAAAGAGAAAGATATATTTGTTTATGCTTCTCTCTTAGTTTTTCCATAGTTAGAAACTCCATAGTTTCTGCCCAGAGGTTAACAAACCCAATGGCCCTTTCTTATCCATCCTGCTAATGGATGGAGTGTTTGGTACTTCTAATTTGTGGTCTGAAACCCTCTGCTCTCTTGGCTTCTGTGATGTCCTGTTTAACCAGTTTTCTTCCTCATATTATTTTCTTCTTCTCTACCTCACTTGCTGACAGCTTCTCTTGGCCCCTCAGTGCTCTGTTTCTGGCTTTCTGCTTTGCTTCAGTCAACTAATCCATTCCCAGGGTTTGGTGGTTACTGCATGGTAGGTGGTATTCAAACCAGTGTGTGCCTTCAGTCTCTGAGACAGGGTCCAGTGCTGGATATTTCTACCTTGAGTTTATCCAACTCCTCAAGTCAGGATGCCTAATGCTGGACTCATATTCTCCGCACTATTTCCTGCACCAGCATCTCTATTCTACCAACATCAACAATATTCTAATCTTAGAATTTTAATTATCTTGCATAACCTTTTTATCATGAAATACCTTGGATTGCACTTTCGAAACTTCTCTTAGATCTCTTTGCTCATCACTTCTTGTCATAGAATTTCAGAACAAGATGGTTTATTACCACATAGTTGTTAACCAACAAATATTTCTTAAATTTAGATCTAGTCCAACTCCGTCACAGAAGTTTTAAGTTTGTTCACCTGCTAAGAAAGCAACCCCTCCTCTCTATCATCCCAACTGTCTATTCCATACACTACCAATTTATTAATGAAAACACCGATTTAATAATTCAATATTTCTTATACATAGAGATACAAAATTCTCAACAAAATACTGACATATGGAATCCAGAAATATATAAAAAGGATTATATGTTAGGACCAATTGCTTCTTGGCCTTTTGGCTAAGATCAAGTATAGTATCTGTTCTTATCAGTTTAATATGTCAGGACCAAATAAGATTTACCTAAGGAATGTAAAATTGGTTTAATATCTGAAAATCCTATATGACAAATTATAATAAATAAATAAATTTTTTAAAAAAAGATCTGAAAATCAGTTAATATAATATACCGTATCAATAGAATAAAGGACAAAAACACAAAATAATCTCAATAGTTGCAGAAAAGCCTTTAGACAGAATTCAACACCACTTCATGATAAAAGCACTCAAACTAGAAATAGAAGGAATCCTATTCAACTTGATGAATCCCATCTACAAAAAAACCCTATGATAATATCACATTTATCTGTGAAAGACTGAATGCTTCCCTCCTGAGATCAGGAATGAGACAAGGATATCTGCTCTTGCCATTTGTATCAGCATTATACTGGAGAGTCTAACCAGGAAGTTTAGGCAAGGAAAAGGAAAAAGGACACTCGGTTAGCAGGGACATAAAACTATTAGGATCTTGTATATTAAAAAACCTAGGGTTCAGGTTTGAATGCTTGCCTAGAATGTTCAATGCCTTGGATACAATCCCCAGCACTGGAGAAGAAAAAAGAAAAACCTAATGAATCAACTGAGAAGCTTTTAAAACTAACAAACAAGTTTGGCAAGGTTGCATAATACAAGAGCAATATACAATAATTATTTATATTTCTTTTTTTACTGATTTTATTATTTTTTAAATGCACGACAATATTGGAATGCATTACAATTCTTCTTACAAATCTAGAGCACATTTGTATTTCTATAGAGCAGCAATAAACAAAGCAAACATGAAATTATGAAAAGGGTCACATTTGCAATAGCATCAAAAAAGAAAAATGGTATTTGTGGATATACAAATGACGGTTAGATTTTACACTCTAAATGGATGAATTGTATCCTATGTGAACTAGATCTCAATAAAGCTCTTAGAGAAAATAATCCAATCTTTAAAGAAATTAAATCCCTCTTTTGTTCCCCTGTTGATTAGAAGAAAAAGTGGTAATTCCTACAGCCCAGTATTTAGCACTTTCTTGAGTTTGTTTCACCCATCTATCCAACTATTTACCTTTGCCTCCTGCAACAGCTACATTACTTGTCCTTCAAAGACACTAAATTGTTGGAACTGTGTCTTCCATTCTTCAGTCTAAAATTCCCATCTGTGCATCCAATTTTTATAGTCATTTCTTGCTTCATTAAGCTTTTCTGTGGATTCACCACCCATGTGCCAAGGCATTGGGCTAAGGCTTTGGGTTGCACAAGTGAATCAGGCTTAGAACACACCGTCAATTTTATTACACTAAAAGTGGTGTGTGTTGGCAGATGGCACACAGGTGCACTTTTTAAAATCTTCTAAAGTCCCGTTTCATCAGTTTTTCCTCTGTGCTTCAGCCATTATCAACTTTTTCCTACCGTGATCTTTTAAGATATTTACCATTAGGCCTCGGTCACATTCTGCCTCATATGTAATACCTTATCCCTTCATCTGTAATACTTAGCTTCCTGTTTAATTTTTAAATTGTATAAAGCTCATGTGTATTCATTTTCTGTTGCTGTTATAACAAATCACCACAAACTTAATAGCTCAAATTGACACCAGTGTCATCCGATAGTTCCATGGGCCACATGTCTGACACAGGCCTCCCGGGGCTGACATCAAGGTGTTGGCAGGACAGCATCCCCTTCTGGGCATTTAGTACAGAATCAGTTGACTTGCTTTTTCTCAGCTTCTAACAATGGTCCCATATTACTTAGCTCATGGCCTCCTTCTTCCACTGTCAAAGAGAATAGTGTTCCATCTCTCTGACTCTTCTCCTGCAGCTAAACCTCACTCTTATCATCACAGAAGCAATATTCCTTGCTTCTGTGGACTCAATAAGATTAGGTTGGGCTCACCAGATAATCTAGAATAATCCACATCTCAGAGTCCTTGCCCTTAATCATGTCCCTTTTGTCATGTAAGGTAACACATTCACGGTTCTAGAAAATTAGGGTGTGGACATCTTGGGGGACCCTTATGCTGTCTGCCTCACCCTATCTTAGACTTCTTTGTATTGCGTAAGAATCTCACACCGTATCAATGGATGGATAAAAAAGTACTAACAACAAAAATGACAGCTGAAACTGGGGTAGCTATATAAAGAGATATAAAGAGTGAAAACATTATTAAAAGGGCTTTTATCCCCAAATAATGAAAACAGCAGTCAACCAGAAGTCACACTTCTAAATTTGTAAGAATGTAACAATATAGTCTCAAAATGTGTGAAGCAAAAACAGACAGAACTAACAGAATAAATAAATTCTCAATTGTGGTGACTTTTAACAAAACTCTCTCCGTGACTGATAGAGCAAACAAAAATGCCCATAAAGCTATAAAAGGTTTGAACACCAAAGTGAACACACTTAACTTAAGTGATTTGTAGATCACTGCACTCAACAACTTTGTGTGTCTGTGTGTTTGTGTTTTAAATGAGACTGGAACATCAAAGATTGACCATGTAGTAGACCATTAAGCAAGTGTCAACACACTGTAATGAATTTAAATCAAATACTGCAAATCTAAAATGATTCTAAAATTAAATGTTTATTAAAAAAAGAATAGATATGTCCTGTGATGGTAGTAAAATCAAATCAGAAATTAGTAATAATAACTGGAAAATTCTCAAATATTCATGTTTTCAAATAACTATTTCAAATAATCAGAGTCAAAAAAGAAATCACAATGGAAGTTAGAAAGTGTTTTGAACTGCACTAATGAAAATACATATTTAAAATTGCATGATAAAAAATTAGAAAATAATTGATAGTATTGAATGTATGAATTGAAATTAAAAAGTGCTAAAAATCAATTATTCAAGAATTACAGAAAAGAGCAAATCAAGCCCAAAGAAAATAGAAATAATAAAGATACTCTTCAACTCCATCAATTTATCTGCAAATGCCATAATTTTATTATCTTTTAATGCTGAGTAATATTCCATTGTGTATACTTACCACAATTTCTTTATCCATTCATCTATTGAAGGGCATCTGAGTTGCTTTCACAGTTTAGTAGTTGTGAATTGTGCTGCTATAAACATTGATGTGGCTGCATTACTATAGTATGCTGTTTTTAAGTCTTTATAGTATAAACTGCAGAGTGGGATAACTGGGTCAAATGGTGGTTCTATTCCAAATTTTGTAAGGAATCTCCATACTGCTTTCTAGATTGGTTGTATCAATTTACAGTCCCACCAGCAATGTATGAGTGTGCCTTTTCCCCCACATCCTCGCCAACACTTACTGTTGCCTGTAAAACTGTCATTCTGACTGGAGAGAGATGAAATCTTAGATCTTAGTTTTGATTTGCATTTCTCTAATTACTAGAGATGTTGAACATTTTTTCATGTATTTGTTAATCACTTGTATTTCTTCTTCTGAGAAGTGTCTGTTCAGCTCCTTAGCCCATTTATTAAATTGGGTTGGTGTTTGTTTGTTTGTTTGTTTTTGGTGTTAAGCTTTTTGAGTTCTTTATATATCCTGGAGATTAGTGCTCTGACTTGTGTGTAGCAAAAATTTGCTCCCAAAATGTAGGCTCTTTCTTTAAGTTATTGATTGTTTCTTTGCTGAGAAGAAGCTTTTTAGTTTGAATCCATCCCATTTATTTATTCTTGATTTTATTTCTTGCACTTTAGGAGTTTTATTAAGGAAGTCGGGACCAATCCAACATGATGAAGATTTGGGTCTATGTTTTCTTCTATTAGGCACAAAGTCTCTGGTCAAATTCCTAGGTCCTTGATCCACTTTGAGTTGAGTTTTGTGCAAGGTGAGAGATAGGGGTTTAGTTTCATCTTGCTGCATATGGATTTCCAGTTTCCCAGTACCATTTGTTGAAGAGGCTATCTTTTCTCTGATGTATGTTTTTGGCACCTTTGTCTAGTAGGAGATAACTGTATTTATGTGGGCTTGTCTCTGTGTCTTCTATTCTGTACCATTGTAAGACCCATGTAATTTTTAAAAAATGTTTTTAATCAAAACAGTACTTGTACACAGTGTGACATCAATCACATCAAACATATATTTTCTTTGTGCTGGGAACATTCAGAATCTCTCTAGGGCTGGGGAGTAGCTCGGCGGTAGAGTGCTTGTCTAGCATGTGTGAGGTCCTCGGTTCAATCCCCTGTACTATGGGGAGAAATATCCTGTTTACTAGCTATTTCAAAATAGCCAACCAGTTGTTGCCAACCATAGTTATCCTAGTGTGCTATAGAACATTAAAAGTTTTCCCTTCTATCCAACTGCACCTCTACACCCATTTACCATCCTCTCTCTACCCACCCTCCACACCCTTCCCAGGCTCTGGTCACCACTATTCTGTTCTCTACTTCTTTGAGATCAACTTTTTATTTATTACATATAAGTGAGAGCAGGCAGAATCAATATAATCTTGATTCAAAAACAAGGAACATTGCAAAAAAGGAAACCATAGGCCAATTTTTGCCTTGAGCATAGATGCAAAATTTCTTTACAAAATATGGATAAAGCAACATATAAAAGGAATAAATATCATGGCTAAAAGGGATTTATTCTAGAAATGCAGTGATGGTTTGACATTTAAAACTCAGTCAATATAATTAATTACATTAAAGTATAAAAGAATACATTCTCATGTAGAAAAGGCATATGCTGAACCTTAACACCCATTTATAATTTAGGGAAAAAATTACTAAATGGAAATAGAAAAGATCACCTTTAATCTCATAAAATGTATCTACAAAAATTTTATATTGAGATCATACTTACTAGTGAAATATTAAAAACTTTCCCCGAAATCAGAAATGAGTCATAAAGTCCTACTATCACTACTTTCATTCAGAATTGTGCTAGAGATTTTTTTCCAGTATCATAAGGTAAGAAAAAAGAATAAAAGATGGGAAGTTAATCTATAGGAAGTATTTTCATGTGACGTGATAGCATGCATAGAAAATCCAAAGAATCTATAAAATTTGGGATTAGAAAATCCAAAAAAATCTATGATCTATAATTGAGAAATAAATTTAGCAAAGTCACTGTAAATAAGATTTTAAAAAGCCAATTTTAAATAGCAAACATTTAGAATAGTAGTATCAAATTATATCAACCTATTATGAATAAACCTAACGAAAGTGTGACTCCAGACAAAAAAATCATAAAACATAATTAAGAGAAAAGTTTTTAAACGCCACGTAAATGTCAGGCTTCACTAGTTTCATTAATTGTAAAACTCAATGTTTGAAATACTCACCCCCACAATTGATCCCTAGAGTCAGTACCATCCTGATCAATATCCCAGCAGGCCGTTTGTGAAACTTGACAAGCTGATCCTAAAATTTACATTGAAAGTATTAAAGGCCCAAAATGATGAAATCAAATCTTGATGAACAACAGACTTGGGGGACATATGCCAATAGCTGGAAAAACTTGCTGTCATTCAACAGTAAATAAGACTGTGGCATTAGCACAAGGACAGACAACAGCCCAGCTGTTCGGGATGGAGACTCCAGAATTGTGCCCTCCGGTGCAGGAACCACTCACCACATGTGACAACTAAAATTAACTAACATTAACTCAAATCAAGTGTTTAGTTCCGTTCTGGGGATGTGGCTCAAGCGGTAGTGCGCTTGCCTGGCATGCGTGCGGCCCGGGTTCGATTCTCAGCACCACATACAAACAAAGATGTTGTGTCTGCCGAAAACTAAAAAAAAAAATAAATATTAAAAAAAAGTTTCTCTCTCTCTCTCTCTCTCTCTCTCTCTCTCTCTCTCTCTCTAAAAAAAAAAAAAAAAAAAAAAAGTGTTGAGTTCCTTGGTCGCAGCAGCCACATTACATATGCTCATGGCCACACGGGGCCAGTGCCTGAAATACAGGCAGCCTGAGTTCAGAACATTTCCATCATCATGGAAAGTTCTACTGGATAGTGGGACTCCACAGACATTCCATGTTCATCACTCTGTGTCGAAATATTGTTTTTGACAAAGATGCCACTGTAGTTGACTGGGAAAAGAACAGTCTTTGCAATAAATGGTATTTGGTCAGTGGAGAACTGAGGAGAGTAGAATTCTCGTATATTGGAATAATATATAGCAATAAAAATGATGAGGTACTGGGAATAGCTGGATCCCAGCAATGTAGATGAACTCACTGACATTATGTGGATCCAAAAGCAGCCAGAAATCAGAGTAACGTATTATATAGTTCCAGTCATGTTAAGTTCAAAAGCAGGCAGAATGCCTCTCCTAGTTAAAATCAGGACAGCAGTTACCTTGGGAAGAGGAGGGAGTACCAAGGCTGCTGGCAGGGCCTTGAAGTCCCAACAAAGCACTGTGCCTTGAGTGGCTGATGTTTTCAGGGGACGGTTTCCTGTTCATCAAGCTGCATGCCTGTTATTTGTGTACTTTCTCTATGGGTGTTATAAAAAAAAATTGTTTTCTAGAAACCTGTAGGATGACACAGAAAAAAAATAATTTCATTGATTAAACAAAAAATAAAAGATGACATTTACCTCTAAAATTTTTAGATAAACAACAGTTTTTAAGTCTGAACATATCAGATATAGGATGTGGACAAATGGGAAATTGCCAATAGGAGAGCTGACTTGTATACATTGTAAAGTTGGGAATGTGTGTACCTTGCAACTGGACGGTTTTAGTTCTAGACACAGACCCTAGAGAAACTTCAGCACCTGTGCACAAGGGGATGTGGACAAGTATTCACTGCAGGATAGCTAATAATAATAAATAATTACAATAGTTAAAACAACCTGAGAGCTGGGGTTGTGGCTCAGTGGTAGAGCACTTGCCTAGCATGTGTGAGGCTCTGGGTTCAATTCTCAGAAGCCCATTCTGTAAATAAATAAATAAATAAAATAACAATATTGTATCCAACTACAATTAAAAATATTTTTTTAAAAAAACCTGAATGCTCATCAATAGGGTAATAGAAAAATATGCTATGTTTATATAGTGAAGTATTGAAGAGGAATATACGCATGTACATAAGAGAAATATATGTATGTACAGTGAATGAGAACGTTGCAGAATATGTATAACACGTACATTTTTAAACTCTGAAACAGTACTGTATACTATTCCTCAGCACATAGTCTTGCTACCACATTTTACAGTGACTGAGCAGACACTGGAGTCAGGACAGCAGCAGCCTATGGAGGAGTGTGGGTGAGGGACTGGGATTGAGGAGGGGGTTAAAGGAGTCTCAACTTCATATTTGTTGCCCAGTTTTTTAATTTAAAAAATTAAAAAGCAGGACTAGGGATGTAACTCAGTGGTAGAGCGCTTGCCTAGGGGCCCTCACTTTGATCCCCAGTATCCCTCCCAGATTAAATTAGATTAAAATTTTTTAAATAAAGTAAGCAAATATAGCAAAAATGCTATCTGTTCCTCCTGGGTTATATTATTCTTTATCATTTTCTCTTTGTTTCATTTCTCAAGATGAAAAACACAAAACTGAGATAATAGTGTCTTTCATTGTTTAGTCTTAGCCTTATTTATTGTTTGGGTGTTTTATGTTCCTGTTGGTGTTAAGAGAAAAAAATGTATATAAATGTAAGTATGATTGAGATGGCTGTTTCCCTTTTCTTGTTGTTTATGTTCACAAAGCATGCTTGTTTTATTTAACATTCTTGGATATCAAAACGTGGCTTTCATTCAAACGTGTGAGGAATAAGGCATGAGGGCTCCCAGTTGTACCACAGTCTGTGTCCCGAGAACCCACTTCCTGTGATAGACAGCCTCACACACTTCCACCACCAGAAGCATCTGTTTGTGTTGGAGCCAAAATATTCACAAACAGAGAAGAAAGAAGTCAAAAAAGATTTTCCTCTTTGGTGCTACAGATTTATTTCTGTGCAATGACTTAAGAATGAAGCTCTGAAACCACCAGTGGTTTACTGGATCAGTCTCTGTATGTGTCCACAGGGTCAATTTCAAAGGCTGACAAAGAACGGGTCTTCTGCCTCTTCCACTGCTAGCTTTCCTTCCTGCATCAAACTTGCATTAAAACCCTGGGGAGCAATAAAATCCTGCTTTGGGGTGAACTGGGGCACTCTCAAAGTCTTTTTTTTTAATTTGTGATGGGGTCTCACTTGGTTGTCCAGGCTCATCTTGAACCCCTGGGCTCAGGCGATCTTCCTGCCTCAGCCTCCCAGGTGCTAGGACTACAGGTGCTCACACAGTGCACCCAGCTTCTCAAAATGTTTTATAAAAGGAAGATAGATGGCTAGTTTCACCACCATGTGGAAACTGCACTTTTATAGACATACCACACACTGTGGCAATTAGTTATTGGGCTGGTAATTCAGCAACCTTCCAAAGTGCTCCCAAGACAATTGCTGTGACCATATTTGAAAAGTTAACAGAGGAATGGTAACTGAAAACAGACTAAATATTATGCAGCTAGGTTCTGAGTTGAGGCTTTGAAATATGCTGACATAGGAATAAAGTGAACCTCCATCCCTTACCTTCATAGATCCACCAGGGTCTTTAACTAGAGTTGAACTCCCACAGCTCCTTATACCCTTTTCCCCAAGGGCAGGTGAAGGACGGAGTTAGCCAAAGAAGGAACTGAGCATGCTCAACCTAGACCCTTTTTGTATGTCTAAGTCTAACTGCATCTCCTAGATATATATAAGCTTTCTTCTCTGCTCTTTGTACTCCCGGGAGTCGAGTGGTTGTCCAGCAAGATCAATGGTGCTAGCCAGGCATGATGGCATACACCTGTAATCACAGCTGCTTTGGAGGCTGAGGCAAGAGGATTGCAAGTTCAAAGCCAACCTCAGTAAAAGTGTGGCGCTAAGCAACTCAGTGAGAGCTTGTCTCTAAATAAAATACAAAATAGGCTGGGGATGTGGCTCTGTGGTCAAGAGCCCCTGAGTTCAGAAAAGATTAATGGTGGTGACGAGGTCTTTCTAAGTCAAGGGTCAGTTATTAGCAAGGTTTCTCTGGCATGGATCTGAGGCTATGTTCTCTCCAATTGACTTTATCAGTAACAAAAGCATTATTTTTAGCCCCATCTGTCTTGCCTCTGCCTATTAATTGGTTCCAAACTCAAGAGGGAGTAGATATTAGTCATTGCTTCTCCTCAGAAGCATGACAATTAATTACTACAAGACCTCAAAATGATAAATTAATGTATTGCGTGATACCAACCAATAATTTGTATACCAAATTTATTCTTATACCCATAGTTATTCTGTCTGAACAGTTAACTGAACATTGCTCACTTACTTTTAGATTGCGTAAGTGTTGTTTTAAAAGAAATATATATATGTTATTTTCATGGTGTGCTTAAATTCTCCTGCCTTGAAATAGACTGCATTAACATATGCATTTTAGAATTTATTACACTATCTACATAGATATAAGTATCTACCGAAAATGTATTTAATTTGTACATTTAAGAGGAAAAAAAACACCAAGATTCAAAAAAGCAACTCACTGTGCTGTAACACAACACTGTTCTGCAATGGCCAGCTGCACATTGGCAGAACGTAGTGATTTTAAGGATGAATTAGTATTCTAATCTCTTTGGGATTTCCTTTATATTTGTGGTGGTTTATGACTGACATTTAATGTAACTATAGCTTTCTGTTTATATTTAATAAAAGATTCATTTCTGTGGTGGTACACACATTTGCACTCCACTGGTGAATAAAAGCTACTGTTCAGCAAGAAGGATATAAGATGCTGATTTATAATGACATGTTCCAATAACAGCAATCTAACTCTTCCAAACTGTTTCTTCTCAGGTCCTGGAAGCAGCATGGCTCCGGCAAAGGATGATTCTTCTCTTCCCGAGTATTCAGCCTTTAACACATCTGTCCATGCTGCCATTAGACTGGGAAATTGGAAACTGCTCACAGGCTTCCCAGGTAGGATGCTTAGCTTAGCCCAGGTCCCTTCCTGCAGTGAACAGGGCAGGGCTATGTCCTCTGGGTAGTACCGTATCTCCAGTCTCACTGAATCTTGGGATTGTATTCCCTTGGCCATTTCTCTGGGAAGGGAGGACTTTATCGCTCTCATTCTAGCCACTTCCCATCTCCTCCTACTTGGCTCCTCAAGGCTCTAGGACCCACCACTCCTCTCACTTTGCTGAGATACCTGAAACATTAACTCATTATTCAGATCTTCTGTGGTCCTCCTGATATGTGCCATAAGAAGACAAGGAATTAGTCAAGGTTTTCTTGTCCCACTCTAAAGACTGTTCCCAATTACACGGCTTCCATTGTTACCATGGACCAAGTCAGCTTCCCCACCACAACATCAAGGAAAATGTACTGAAGTAACTCCTGCATTTTGCAAAACTTATCTCTGGGGCTACTAAATCAGGAGCTAATGAGGAGGAATGGTTGAGATTGTTCCCTCCCCACCCCACCCTCACCCTGCAATTGAGAATTAACTATAGCAGGAGTGAAAGGAAGAAATTCCATTCAAATGCTTCATGGAAAATATGGATTTCAGGTATGTGTGGCTTTGCATCTAGCTAGCAGAGAATCTCTGAGAGCTAGATCAACCAATGGTGTAGCTGGGGAAGGAGGCAGTTTCGGTTTCCCTGATGGTATTCTCTAACATATTTTACAGGGACATTTTGTAAATGGTAGTAAGATGGCTAAGGCTGTGATGCAGTTAAACAGTGCTTATAATGGGGAGGGGGTGTTCTTGGTATTTGCAGCTAGGTAGATCATTTGGAACTGTCCTGTGGAGTGTAGAACATTCTAGCATCACTGGCCCATGTCCAGTAGACACCAAGAGCACCGTCACCCCCCAATCATGTGACAACTAAAAATTCCCCCTCACAAATGTGCACACATTTCTAGATGTCCCTGGTAAAAAAGCAGCAAGACATGTCTCACTAAAGCACCAAATCAGATTCTGAAATGAATCTAGAGATAGCACCAAGCACCACATCTTTTTCAGATATCCACACCCACAAGCCAGTACAGCCTTGTCCCCAGAGTTTCCCCAAGATTAGCAGTTGCCTACAGTGCTTCCCCAGTAAATGATTTTGTTTCTTTGCCAGGCTGTGGTGCGTGGATCCCACCACCAACTCAACACAACGTTTCTGAAATACCCTCATCGGACCCACCAAGCAAGACCCTCTGGCTCTTTGATATTGATCGGGACCCGGAAGAAAGACATGACCTGTCCAAAGAACATCCCCACGTGGTCAAGAATCTCCTTTCCCGCCTTCATTTCTACCAGAAGCACTCAGTGCCTGTACATTTCCCAGCGGAAGACCCCCGCTGTGATCCCAAGGGCACTGGCGCATGGGGCCCCTGGATGTAGGATGTCGGGAGGTTGGAATGCATTTCTCTTGCAACCTGGACCTCAGTTCTTGAATCATGCAGCCTCTTGTCCCACTTGTCCTCCCACTCCAGGTTCACCTGGCCCTTCTAGTGCTCTAAACCACACCACGGAGTCCAGTATCAACCCTAGTGCATTTAAGAAGCTGATAAAATCTGGAATGCTCCTGCCATGGGCTGGAGCTTGTGTCTGCAAGCAGGGGTGGCTGGGTTCATCTGCTCTTGCTAAGCTCCGGGACAGCTGGGAACTTGACATGGGAAGTTCTCATTGAATCCTAGAAGCTGGAGCAGCTGGCTCTTGTTGCCTAGCAAGTCAGACAGTAGATTTCCCTCTGCCAATAACCAGTTTTATTGGAGTGACTCACATTTCTTATAACGAATGAAGGGAGCAGACAAATTGTTAATGGTTCTTTTGGCCGGGAGTTCTGTCTGTCTGTGAGAGATCTTGCTCAGGCCTTCCATGAGAATGACCCCCGTCGGCTCACCCCTCAATTACTCATCTTATCACCAGCATAAGGCCCACTTCACTAAGGTCAACACAGCAAAATACCAACACCTTGGTTTTGGTTTTTACAATAAAGAAATTTTTTTAATACTATATTTTTCCCCAGCCATTGCTCATTCTGTCTAGACTTCCTGTCACCTCCAACTGTGACTCTTTACCTGCCATTCCTTTTGACTTCAGTGTCCTGTGGGAAGGCCACTTTACCACTCCACTCTGAGCACTCCTGAGTTTTGGAGCAATGCTGAGCCTTGCCTTCCCTTTTTCCTATAATACTAAAGCCAGAGCCCTGCTCAGAGAAGGTGGCCAGGTTGCTCTGTGGTCATGCCCAAGGGGGACCCAGGAGAGGGCCAGGTGGAAGATGCATGGGTCCATGGCATCTGTCTGCCAAGGTTTCTCCTTGAGTTGCATGGAGGTCATCATCAATATTGTGGTTTTAACTCCTGATATATAACAAGTTGCACTGCTATTCCTGAGGAGAGACTTGTAATACTATCTTACTCTATAATATATCGAAGTAAGACTATTGGAAGGATATGGTGCTAGAACTAATGACATTTATTTTCTTTACCCAACACCTGGGTTGGCAAACACCTGGCCAAAATGTCCCTAGTCACCCCAAAGCCTGTGGCAGATAGCATGAACTAACTGAGCCTGAATGTTACTCCTGCATCCTTCCAGTCCCAGGGTTGCAGGTAGCCATTAGTATTCTAAGATTGGAGGTCACCACTATTTGACACTTGTTTGTTCTCCCTATTGTACCCTCAAAAGCTATCCCCAGTTTTAGTTCCTTGTTTGCTGTGTATACTGAGGATGTTCTATAGTCAAAGAATTTAAAGAATTTTAAGGAGTACTTTTAAAAATCTATCATTTGAGATTTTATTTTATCCAGGATATAACAAAGTCTCATTAGATTTTCTGATTCTATACAAGGAGATGAAAAGGTTCATGTCATTATTAGTGTATTAATGTTACTTCTTTCCAAATTTGCTTACCTTTAAAGAAGATTTTGTTCATTTGTGAGCTTGTTTTTCTTTGTTACTACATGAGTCTTCCAGATTTGAGGGACAAAATAAAAATAATCATTTTAAATTAAATGATTTAAAATAAGTCAGCTGTGGATATGGGGCTCCTATTGGGATGATGAAAAAGTTCTGCATTGGGGTAGCAATGACAGCAGCACAACATCATGAACCCCCTCAATGCCACTGAATTGTATACTTCAACATGGTGAAAAAGGCAAATTTGATGTTATGAAGACCTTATCACGATTTTTTAAACTTGCCAATTTTATAGTTCATGAATTATACCTCAATAAATCTGTTACATAAATAAATAAATACATGAAAATTATCACAGTGAAAAAAAAATGTGTCATACTTTGCCCTAAGATTATACACTATAAAGTAAGGTGTTGGAGAGAGGTCAAAGAAGAGGTGGAGCAAAAACAAAGCACTAATGGAGAGTATCACCCTGACCATCAATTGCCCTTATGATCACCAAGGACAGGTAGATGCAAACAGCTGTGTAACAAATTGTCCCCAAATTTAGCAGCTTAAAATAAAACACTTTTATTTTTTTATACATAAGATGAGGGTCAGAAATCTGGAAGTAGATAAGCAGGGTGGTTGTGACTCCTGGTATTTTTGACTCAGTAGTCAAGCAGTTGAGCAGGGCTGTGGTCATCTGAACGCTTGGGTGGAGTTGAAGGCTTTACTTCTGAGATGACTCACCAAGGTCTTGGCTTCAGGCCTCAGTCCCTTGATACATGGGCATCACCGTAGGCTGCTTAAAGGTCCTCAGATGGGCAGATTATTTCTAGCAGAGCAGGGAATGTGGAGAGAGAGAGCAAGCAGGGGGCTAGAATGCGTTTTATGACCTGGTCTCCACAGTCGTATACAGCCCTTGCTGTTGGGATGTGGTAGGACCCTTAGTAGGTAGAGCCTGGTGCAAGAAAGTTAGATTATAGGAGGCACGCCTGGAGAAGAATTCTGGAACACTGGTCCCATGACTTCCTCTCTTTTGCTTCCTGGCCACTGTGAGGTAGGGGCGTCTGACACACTTCATGATGTGCGGCCTTGACACAAGACCCAAAACAGTGGGCCAGCAACCGTGGACTGAAACCTCTAAAACAGTGAGACAAAATAAATGTTTCCTCTTTATAAGTTGATTTGTCTCATGTATTTCTTTCAGTGACAGAAAACATGACTAACGTATAATTAAAAAATACTATTTTTTTGTTTTTGATTTTTTGAGTGTTTGCTATATACCAGTCAGTGTACTGAGTTGAGAGGATTAAAAATAACCAGAGGTGATGTTTGTAAAGATCATTCCTTTTTTTTTTTCCCCAGTATTGGAGATTGGACTCAGGACCTTGCTGATGTTGTACAAGTGCTTTACTACTGAGCTAAATCTCCATCCCCTATTCAATCTTAATTATAGGAGGATTACTTTGTTTTCATCTCTTCCATTTTTTCAATATCCAGTCTTTATCCAAACATAAATTATTTAAATTAAGAAAATAAAAAAGGAAGAATTATTTTAGGTCTTTTGACAAGGCACATTGGACAACTAACAAGTGTCCATCAACAGGAAAATGGGATATATAATAGTGGAACACTTTTCAGTTGTAAAAAGGAACTGAGCTCAGGAGGCTGAGGCAGGAGGATCCAAAGTTTGAGGCCAGACTACAACTTACTGAGACCCTGTCTCAAAATAAATAAATAAAATTACATATAAGAGGTTGTGAGGGGAATGGGAAAATAAACAAGGAGAGATATGAATTACAGTGGATGGGGTAGAGAGAGAAGATGGGAGGGGAGGGAGGGGGGATGGTAGAGGATAGGAAAGGTAGCAGAATACAACAGTTACTAATAGGGCATTATGTAAAAATGTGGATGTGTAACCGATGTGATTCTGCAATCTGTATTTGGGGTAAAATTGGGAGTTCATAACCAACTTGAATCTAATGTATGAAATATGATATGTGAAGAGCTTTATAATGTTTTGAACAACCAATAAAAAAAAATTAAAAAAAAAAAAAAAAAGAATCCAGAATCACTGGAAAAAAAAAAAAAAAAAAAAAAAAAAATAAATAAATAAATAAATAAATAAATAAATAAATAGAAAGGGTTGGGGATGCTGGTCAGTGGTAGCACACCTCTGGGTTCAATCACCAGTGCTACAAAAACAAAAATAAGAAAGAATGGAATTCTAATACACTTTACAATATAAATTAACTTTGAAAACATCAAACATGAATATGGCCAATGCCACTAAATTGGTTGCAGTGGCAAATTCTATGTTATCTGTGCATATCTTATCTCAATATAAAAGCAAACACATGGTGGGGGGAGTGCATCAAGAAATTCTGAATTGGGAGAGAAGAGAGCATCAGAAGAAAAAGTAGCTGGGCTGAAGGGCTGTAGCCTATGTTACGGAAAGTAGCTGCACTTTAATTTCTGATATAGATTGGACTTCCAGGTAAGACAAAAACTAATCAATGGTGATGGAAGTCAGCATATTTGTTTCCTTTGTGGGAGGGGAGATTGGCAGAGGAGGAGCCAATAACCTTTTGAGGTTCAGAACATCTTACCCTGGTTGATCTCTACATGGGTGTATGCTTATGTCGAAATTTGTTGAGACATATTCTTGTTACTTACTCTACAGTTTATATCACATATGAAATTTAAAAGTACTTTTAAATAAAAACAAAAAATAAAAACACCTGCCCTTCGAGCAAAATGAATGCTACAATATTTATCTTTTTGTTTTGACAACCAAAATGGGCTTATAAACACAACTGTTTGTAAATAAACATTTTCAGTGCTTCAGGGAATTCATTATTTGAAGAAACCTTTTTGAGAATCCATTGGTAAACACAAGTTTAGGTCTTGTATTTGCAAAGCCTAAATGCATGGATTTAGATTTCCTAAGTTGAGCCTTCACTGTTCAGGTTTTCCTGATGGGTTCACATGCATATGTGAGGGTCTGGCAGAGGAGGATCAGAGACCAGGCAAGCCATACCAACATATCTGGAGGTGGAGCCTCGCTGCCCAAGTTGTTTTCAAAAGTGATTCACATTGCAGAATGTATTAGAATGTCATGCCCTCTTATGGCTAAAAAAAATTCCAGTATAAAATAGTATAATGCTAGTATAAAAAATATTTTATATAAATAAACATAATGTATAAATATTGTGATATTTTATAATATATATTATATATTTTACATATTGCATATCATATGTAATATATATTATATATAATATGTGTTTATATATAAAATAATATATTCTAGTATAAAAAAATATTCCAGTATGCCATGTTTTGTATATCCATTTATCTGTTGATGTGCACTTGAGTTATTTCTCTGATGTGCCTTATAAAAAGATATTACAATCTAATTCTTTACTGTAATGCTCTTTCCAGCCTGATGTAAGAATCTTCTGGCCAATATATCGACTAAGTATATTAAAATTGTTCTTATCCTCTGCAGTGATCACTTGAACTTTAAAATCCATTTTTTTTTTTTTTTGTCCAAGTAGAGAATAGCCATGGTTTGTAGATTGGTTCATTTTTAGGATGTTGAAAAGCCAGTCTGTTCACCCTGACCATCACCCTTATGATCACTAAGGACGGTAGGTGCAAACAGTCTAGAAGCAGTCACCACCTGCCTTTCACCTTTGCCCTGTTGCCATGGGAGACACTCACCTGAATGGCACCTCCCTGGGGCCCATTTAGAAAACTAGAGACATTTCATTCTTAAAGTAATTCACAAGAGGAACCAATCATTGGTTTCCAGATAGTTCATAACCTTTATTACTTTTCTAACAAAGGCGTTAATACAATATCACTGTAACAATTTTTTTTAAAAACAGAAAACATACAACAAAAAATTAATCCATAAACTACTACCTACAGACAGCTCCATTGACCTTTGACACCTCTCTGTAAGAGAGCAATCAAGTGGTGCCTTCCTAAGTTTGTCTTTGTGCCCAGATGAGTTCTCACTAGAGATTTAAGATGGTAGATAAATAAAGTGTCACCTCTTCAGGAAATCCTGATTTTAATCTTATTAATGAAGTACAGATGTTCCTAATATATTTACTCCCCAGGTCTGGGGGTTAACACACACACTCCACCACCTGCTTGCTTTCCTCCATGAGCCTCCAGAGGGCGTCTGGCCACAGAGGGGCCAGTGTGATCAGTCAAGCCAGCCAGCCAGGGGTCTGGCCTCTAGTTCAGATCAGAGTCTAACAGAGTCCAGCAGAGGAGGAAAACACACACCTTCCTTCCTCAGGTAAACAGGTAAGTAATTTACTGAGTTTTTGTTTAATTCAATGAATCAAAACTTAAATTTGCTGTTTGTAGGTAATATGCATTGGAGGTGAAGATGGGATACAGATGCCAGGCATGGTATACCTCCCCAAAACAGAGGAAGAGGGTGCATCAGAGGAGACCCTGCTCCTAGGATGCTCACCAACCATGGAGCTCAAAGGTCAGGGGGCAGATAGGAGAAGGTCCCAGGACAGGGCCTGAAAGAGGAAGGGCTTTGTGGAAGGGCTCTCAAGTTGGACATATATTGCTTCCAGCCTAGTAAGAAAATTCACATTTTTTTTTTTTAACATCCTGAGCACAGTGAGTTCTTGTTACAGAAATCCTTTCTAAAGTGAAAACCTTTGATTAGAGCAAGCTTTGAATCTGTGAGGGAAGTTGCTGGTGGGATTTTAACAGGTTATTCTTTGGTTCCCATAGAACATCTGGGTTTCTCGGTTCTTAGGCCACAGCTTGAGTGAAAGTGTTTAGGTTTATGACATAGGACTGATGGAAATATGTGTCCCGCCCCCACTACGAGGATTCAGGACTCCTGGACACGGAGAAGGGCCTTTCTCAGTGAGGCCTGCAGTGCACTATATCTGAGGTCCAGTGGGAATCCTGCCCTACCGAAAAAGCCACTGAAGCTCACAGGGCTGGAGGAACCCCAGTAATCACCTCAGCCTCACAGGACATTCTAGGTCACTCACAAAGGCCCTTTCACTGCTGGAAGTCAACATGGGACTTATCCTTACATTCTTCACTAGAATAAGTACTCCAAAGCCACGCTGTTTAAGATTGCCATAATGAAGGGAAAACAGTATCATTGGTAATCATAAAAATGCAGGCAATGAATAAAAATTGCTCTCAAACTTGGAGTAGAAACTATTTCTAGTAGAAGAAAGAGAATTGAAGAGTGAATAACCTTTGCACTAAGTGACTCAGTGTCACCAATGCCAGGTCTGTGACTTGGCAACACTGCCTGGAGCCAAGGAACCTCCCAAGGGCAGAGACAGCCTACTTTGGGTTCTGGGTGGT